GACCATACCCAACTATCTCCTTAAAGACTTCCTTCTCCTTTCTACACTTTCATTCTTATTACCCTCAATTGGCTTCTTTCTCTCAGCCTATAAACATGCTTATGACTCATTCATATTTAAAACACAAAAATCAAAATGTTTCAAATATTCCCTCTATCTGTTGCACTCTGTCCTCCTTCATGGTAAACTTCCTGAGAAGTTCTCTATGTTTTCTGACCTCACATACTCACCTCACACATTCACTCCTCACAGAAGACACTTTCCAGCCCTCATCATTCTCAGCTGCTGCCCAGCAGCATTTACTACCATTGGTACCTCCTCCCTTGAATCTCTGTCTCTTCCTCTCCAAGGCCTTGGGCGAGACCCTAGGGGCCCAGAGAAGAATCAGACATGGTCCCTGTGTTAAGGCCCCCTCCCCATATTTGGTCGGGGAGACAGTGACAGCCCTCCCTGCTTTCCAGTCAGACTTCTCAAATCAGCTGTCTACACTTATACCCTCCTTTCTCTTACTGCCCCTCTCCTGTACTCCTCAAGCCTCTGTGAACTGCCCCCCACCTCACTGCTCCACTGCAGCAGCTCATGCCAAACTCAGCAATGACCTCCCTGTTGATAAACTCAGTGGGCACCCTTCAATCGTTTTCTCATTGAAATGTTGTTGAGCCGGCCATCCTAATAAAAACACCCCTCTCTTCTGTTGGCTGCTGTGACAGCCCTCTCAGGATTCAGGCTTATGCCCTCTTCTTTCTCCCTGGGCGATCACATCCGGTCCCATGGCTCTGAATGGTACCCATGTGCTGGTGACTCTCAATTTCCATCCCCAGCCATGTCTCTCTTCTCCCTTGTAGACTGGATCTGAGTACCACCAGCCTAGGGTGCTCACTCAGTGGTCCAGTTCCCCGAGGGCTACAGTCCTGTTTTGTGTACTCCGTTTCCACTGTCTTGGGACAGCAGCCTTGCTCTGCAGTGTATGTCTGGGGCTGGGCTCTTGCTCCCTGGTCAGGCACTTCCTAGGTGCTGTTCAAGACCTCAGGGATACCAGGTGTGTCTGCACTGCTGTTTATAAACTAATAATAGTAATGGCGATAATGGCACATAAGTTTTGTTGCGTACTGACCATGTGCCAGACACTGTGCTAAATGCTTCACATGGTCTATGCCACTGAATCATCCCAATACCATGTGAGGTAGAAAGCACTGTACCTCCCATTTTACACATGAGGAACATGGGGCTCAAGGGACTTTAAGTGACTTACTCATGGTCATTTAGCTAGTATCTGGTGGAGGATCTGAAATTCAAACCCAGCCTTGCCTAGTGGAGCGCAGAGGCCTAATCAGTGCCCTGTGTTGCCTCTGCCTTCACTGTCTATTTGCTCTGAAGTCTGGCTGCCCCCTGCTTGCCCCTTCATCCACTTCAGCTCCTGGCTTAGCCTTACAGATAGTTCTTTCTCCAGTGTCCCAGGCATCTTGGTCTTGCTGCAAGCTCAGATACTTAACAAGCTGAGGGTCTTGCACAACTTGTCAGGGCTGGTATTTTTCCCTTGGCCTAATAGGAAGAGCAAGTTGTGCATGTGTTACAGTTTTCACCAAGCTAGGGCAGAACACATAGACTTTATGACCAGAAGCTCTTCTTTCACCATTAAACCACATGTATAGCAGGACACGTGATGGTTTGATGTTGGTTATTAAATGTGATTATTCACAACTGACAAGGGAGTTGTTGACAGCTATTATGATCAATGGGTAGCTTGATTTAGTTATAAAAATACAGCTGCTATATTAACTTTTTTGTTTATATCCAATTTGCATATCAAGTTGAAAAGAGACATATTTGAAGTACAAACAGCCTAGGACAGAGAAGTGGGCACACACACACACACACACACACACCCCTAGACAATAAATGTGAATGTTTTTGGAACATTAGAAAGTGAAATGCAAAATGCAAGGGACTGTTGTCATCACCGTGACTAGAAGCCCATCCCCCTCTTCCTGCTTTTCCTTATTTCTGTTCTGCCACCCTGCTCACCTGAGACCCTGTGTCTTCTCCAGCAATCTTCTCTCCTTTGTCTCCTTCCCCACTCCATCTAATGAGCCATCAATCATGTCAATTAAACCTCCCCAATTTTGCTCTCTCCCTTCTAACCATCCCCATGGCTCTGCTGTCATTCAGATCTGTACAACTCCTTTTTGGGAGAAAAGAGGCCCCAGTCTGTCTGTCCTGCAAACATTCTTGCCTGCTCCCTCCAGAGGAATCTTCGTGAAGAACAGTTCTGACATGCAATGTCCCTGTTCAAAACTCTTCTGTAACTGCCCCTTTGCCTACAAAATAAAGTGCAGTTTCTTGGCTTGGCGTTCAAGACCCAGCACTAGCCTATCCAGCCTCCTACTCCAGCTTTACCTCCCACAATGCCTCTTCACACAAATGCTCCCAGAAAACTGCTCCTTGATGTCTATCAAGCACCACGCATTTCTGATTTCAACACCTTGACTAGCTGCCTGCTTGGAATGTCCATCTCTGCACCTCTGCCTGTAAGACCCATTTATTGCTGCAAGGCTCAAGTTCATGTGAAGTACAGGCTCCTCCTGCCTGCATGCAGCTTTCAGGATTGCCCAGCCAGAGGGAGGCGGGTCTTCCTAGGAACTCCAGGACAATCACAACTTTCTATCTTGTGCTAGTAATTTCTGAGAGAAGTCCCCTCTCCTCTCTTGAACCACATGTGTGACAGCCAAGACTCTGTCTGAGGGCTTGCTGCATATTCCTCCATCACCCAGTCCAGGCCCAGCACACTCCAGCATGCGGGAAATACTTGGAGAGCTGCAACACAACAATAAGGCTCAGGAGTTTCAACAGGTCCTCCAGCCATCTGTGGATGAAGTTTATAAGGAAGACAGCAAGTGTGATTAGTCTCAACCTGTAAGAGAAAGGTGTCCCCTCCCCCATGGGGGCCTCTGATGACAAAGCTGTAATGGCTTGCCTTGTTTGGCTGCCTTGGATTCAGTCACTCATTCAGCAAATATGATTAATGCCTACTGGTCATTGGGCACGGCACTCAACTCAGGGGAATACAGGTAAATCAGACAAACCTCCATCTCCTGGAGCTGCAATGTCAGCGGAGGAAGAGGCATGCACATAAGACACTTCAAGTCCAAGGCAGACTACCCTAAGTGCAGAATTTTCCCTCTCTGCAGCAGTCTGGTGCTGGAGAGAAAGGCAGGCAGATGGTCGGGCAGCTTTCTCTTCCTAGTAGGCTCAGGAATGCTCTCTGTTAGCCTGTTCCCTGCTCTGCAGCACGTCTCCCCAGGGCAAGAGCAGCTACATAATTTGCAGGGCCTGGGGAAAAATGAAAATGCAGGGCCACTTGTTCAAAAATTAAGAATTTCAAGGAAACGACAGCCAAGCATTAAACAAAGTGTGGAGCCCTTTAGTGTGCAGGGCCCTGTGGAACCGCACAGGTCACATACCCATGAAGTTGGTCCTGCCACAGGGCAAGGAATCAAACACACAAGAGACCTGAATGTGTCCTGAGGTCTTTCCTTTTCTCTTGCATGAGTGTGAAGGGAGCCCAGGTGCCCGTGACCTCGGTGGCACTAGGGCACGCACAGCTACACACAGGCCAGTAACAAATATTTGCAAAGTGCCTACTGTGTGCCCAGAACTTATCTGAGTTTCAGGGATACGGTAGAAAACCAGATGAACATGTTTTATGGTTTGGTTTTTGTCACTGAGCTTACTCCAGTGGGGGAAACCCAACACAAACAAGCTAAAAAAAAAAAAAAAACGCCCAAGAAAAGCTTCCATTGTGAAGACGACAAAGCAGAGGGATGGGACAGGGTAGGGTAATGGAAAGGGTGTGTCAGATTAGCGTGGTACAGCGAAGCCTCTCCAAAGAGCCATCGCACCAGCTGGGATGCACACAACCCCTTCTAGAGGAACAGGTAGGGTGCTGGTAGTGTTTGGCATCAGCTTGTTAGGCAAATCTCTGTAATCCCTTCCCCTCTGAAGTGAATCATGAGGGTCTAAGCAAGAAAGATGAAGTCCCAGGATGCTGGAGACTCTAGAGATGTCCTCCTTGAATGGGGTACTGACCCCCACCACGACCCTCATGTCTTCTCACTTCTTCTGACATGACCAGGAGCCAAGTCTCCAGAAAGATTTGGCGAGCCAGCATTGGAGAGGGGGTTTCCAAGGTCCCCCCAACCCCAGGTCTCACACACAGGCTCCAGGGCTGAACTGGGAGCCACATTGCATCAGTGTCTCCATGGGGTTCAGAGAAAGTCCTCCAGTGAATGCCTCAGCCTGGTCGTCTGTTGGCGGGTCCTCCCCAGATCCCAAATACTACCTGTGTAGCTCAGGTCAGAGCTTGCTGGGGAGAATCCCAAGTCTCTTTTTCCCCTGTGCCAAGGAAGGTGCCAGTTACCCAGCTCCCTTTGGATGCCAAGAGATGTGCTCTGAAGGACTGGAAGTTGTCGAGTGAGGGCGGGGGAAATTTCAGAGGCCAGGCGACTTGGGGAAGCTATGGGGTGCAACAGGTGGTGGTGGGGGGAGCCAAGGGCTAGAGGCCATAGTTCGACCCCGTGGAGCACCAGCGGACTGGAGGGAGTTATAGAGGAGGCAGAAGCCCACTCAGACCCCATCTCGCCCCTTTCAGGCCCAGTCTGTGACTGCCCTTCCAGCCGCAGCCAAGGGCCGCCGGTTTCCCCCGCCTGGGGCCCCCGAGCCACTAGCTCCCCCTCTCCTCCCTCCCTCTGCCCTTCCCCGCGCCGGCTGGCAGCGCCACAGTGGTGGTGGCAGGGGCCGGGGTCCCTGGTGCCAGGGCTCCCTCCTCGTCTCCCTCCTCCTCTGCCCGCCGGCCAAAGCTACCTCCCTCCCCGCCCCACCCCCGCTCCTCTGCCGCAGCAGCGTACACGTCGTCGTCGTCGATTTCCATCGGGGCTCAGGGGGCGGGGCCAAGGTGGAGGACCCGGGGCGGGGCGGGGCGAGGGGGAGGAGTGAAAGTTGGAGCGCAGCAAAACGCTCCACGCCTCGCTTGGCGCAGCCAGACCGTGTGCAGCGACCGCCATACAGGTGGTCGCGCCGGTCCCCGCCACGATGTTGACCAAAGTTCTCCTGATCCTCCTGGGCATGTCCATAATTCTCCCTTCGAGGTGAGTCTCCATCCTGGGACCCAGGCGTCCTCCGCACCCAGCTCCCTCTCTCCGGGAGCGAATCTGGCTCCAGGGACCCCCGCACCCAGGCGTTCTGCGAGCCCCGCGCGCACCTTGCCCCCTGGCCCTCGACGCGCGACCAGCCTCCACCCGGCTCCCTCTAGGACAGGCGCCCCGGGCCCCTGAAAGGGCGCCCAGGAAAGAAGGCGGGATGCCTGTCCCCTGGCGGCTCTCGTTCCCGGACTCCCACTCTCCAGACCACTGCAGCGGCCTGGGAACGAGCATGCCCCTCCCTCTCTGAGTCTTCCATAGGAAGAGGCGAGCGGCCCGTGGGGTAACGGGACTGGGGAGGACTTTGGGAAGGTGACGCCCAGAAAGGCTCGCGGGCTGGGGGAGCGAAACTGCGCCTAAAATGTTTGAGTGTTGGCTAGTCTGTCTTCTCTTAGAAATTTTTTTTCTCAGCGCCTTACTGAGCACCAGGGACTGTGCCAAACAACTCTGACTTTACTTGCGTCCCTTCCCGCTGCTCGTCTTGGTGCCAGTCCCAGGCATGAGTCCTGGTTTAGTCTAAGGGTTCCTGCCCCAGCTATCCACCCCAACCCCTCCTGCTGCCATCCTCCCCCTTCCTTCCTTATTCCCCCAGACACCCTGCTGAGTCTTGGGCAGACTGGAGCTAGAGGCCGCGAATGTTATTTTCTGAGGTCTATGGTTTAAGTCCTAGATTTCAATCCCTCCCCGCTTTTCCAAAGGCTGGCAGCATGTTTCCCCCTTGAGCAACCGCTCCCCTCACACCTTCTTCTGGCCCTGGGACTTTTCTGGGAAGGTTGTCCCCTGCATTTCTGGCTTTTTGGGTGGAAGATGACTGCTTCATATTTTTTAGACGGTTGGGTGTGAACTATCACAAGTTCCTAAGCTTCCTGACCTGTGGAACATTCTTGAAGTCTCCATGGCACTGAGTTTGTGTCTTGCTTGTCTATTTTGGGGAGAGGGGAGATGGCTTCTCTCTCCACCCCAGAGTGCTTTAGCTCCTCAAGGGAGGGGCTGTGTGGCTCCCTGCTGGCTCACTGGCGCTCAAGGGGGCTGACCTCAGCAGGGGCTTAGTAAATATTCCTGAGCGCCTGCTGGGAATTTCCAGTCATCCATATTCCTTCAGATGTGAATTGCACTGGTTAGGAAAGCTGACATGGTGACTGGCTAGGGGCAAAAAAGGGATGGGGGAGGCAGAAGGAGGGAGGGGGAGCAGAGAGGAAAACAGCAGGAAGGGGGGCTGTTGAGATGGCAACTACCCTTCTAGTCATGGGGAAGAGCTGCAGTAACTGCTGTTCAGACACTGTCAACATGGCAACCTGTGATGTCAGGCAAGAGCTGAGGAGGTGGCAGTGGGGTATACTGGCAAGGGCCACACTGAACCAGGAAACCTTGCTCTGGGCCAGGCTCAGCCTCAAATTCGTTGTGCGACTTTGGGCACAGCCCTTCTCCCATCTGGGACTCAGTTTCTCCATCTGTAAGATGAAAAAGATGGCTAATTTGGAAAAAGCAATCCAGTGACCCTTCTCTTGTTGCCTTCCCTCCTGTCAGCCCATTGAATCAGCCTCCTCAGTGGGAGGAGGGGGATGCAGAGATTCAGCTCCATCTTGGACCATCACATCTGGAGGGATATGGGTGTCTGAAAAGGCCCCGTGGCGAGATCCCATTAGTCCAGGGCATGAGTTTTTTTTTCAAGTTTTTATTATTTCTATCCCTGAAAGTGGGCTTAATGTCTGGCTGAGGAAACGTGTGCATTGTCAGCAGCTCCTTAACCACAAGGATCCCAGGAGGAGAGTGTTTTTTTGTGTTTTTTACTTGCAAAAGCTAATTGTAGGATTACAGCGACCTCAAGACCCTCTGATATCATTTTCATTGCAGACGTAGTGTGGTAACGGGAGCTTCGGTGGTCCCCAGGCTTTTGCTTGTTTATTTATTTGCCTCTTAAACCTTGGGGTTCTTGTCGTTGGCTTCAAACTTCTCGGAGGGGCTGTGAGGGCTCTTGGGTAGTCTTGGCTGACAGTACCAATCCTGATTGTGTCGTGCTCCCTGGCAAGTCACTCATTTTGCAAGGTCTCAGGCCCTTCACTATTCTCTCTCCTGCCCTCCCAACGTAGCTGGCATTATCTTTTCAGAGGACTAGGGGGAGAGCCTCAGGGAAAGAGGACGTCTCTGAATGTGGTGTTTGGAAATGGAAACTGCTTTGCCCAAGCCCAGTTCTTCCCTTGCCCACAGTGGGAATTAGCCACGTCAGACATGAGAAATGGCATAGGCTTGGCACATCTGTACACCAGTTAAGCAATTCTAGAACTTGAAATATTGTAGGAAAATGCATTTTGCTGCTCAAGTTGGCAATCCCTTGGTCTTCAGTACAGAGGTCATGTCCATGTGTCTTGCCCTGTTAACCCTTTATTTTGGGAAGTAAGTTGCTTGATGGCCTTTTTTAAAAAAATAAAATCATTTTGGAAGTGTAACATACAAATATAAAAGTATAGAAATCATGAGTGAACAGCTCAGTGGATTTTCACAAAGTAAACATGGCCATATAACCAGCACCTAGACCAGGAAATAGAACATTGCCAGTCCTCTCCCCCACCAGGCCTCACCACATGCCTCCTCCCAGTACACTCTCCTCTCCAAAGGAAACCACTCTCCTGCCTTCCAACATCACAGATTAATTTTGCTGGTTGCTTTTTAAAAAGCTTCTAATTGTAAATATTTTAAAAGATATATAAAATAGAGGGAACAGTAGAATGAATCCCCATGTACCCATCACCAGCCTCATTAATTGTGGAGCTCATGGTCACTCTTTTCTCTGTACCCCACCCACTTTCTATTTCCAGTTTAAATTATTTTAAAGCAAATCTCAGACATCATATTGTTTTATATGTATTTCAATATGTATTTATTTTAATATGTATTATTATAATATGTATTTCTAGTCCTAAGGACTCAAAAAACATGATAAAGTACCACTATTACACCAAAAATTTTAGAATAATTTCTTCATGCTGAAGAAACTATCCAGTGTTCACATGTCCCCTATTGTGTCATAAATGTTTTTTGTTTTGTTTTTACAGTTTTCCTTTTAAAGTCAGGATCCAAATAAGGTCCATATATTAGCAGATTTTTATTAGCATTTCTATTTTTCAAAACACTTTTTATTCAATTAGAACATATATGCAGAAAAATGCTTAAATCATAAGTGAAAGGCTGATGAGTTGTCAGAAAATGACCACACCGCTGTCAAGACACCTACATCAGGGACTGGAGCGTGACCAGAACCTCAGAAGCCCCTGGTGCTCCCTTCCTCACTGTCTCCCAGCAAAGGTAGTATGACCCTGACTTCTAACACCATCGGTGTGTTCCATGCATTGGCAGATAGCTTTTTAAATTTTTGTTTTATTTCATTTAATTCTTATTTTTGGTTCTGGTGCATGGCTGTAGCGCTCGGATTGGACTCCTGTTGGCCACCTGTTTCCTGGACGACAGTCTATGGGTGAAGGACTCCTGTCTTTTCTTAGTGCTTAGAGCTTACCCTGACCCCTGGCCCTCAACTCCTATATAATGAGTATCACAAAAGCAAAGAAATGCAGAATATTCCCACAGCATTCTAGTCCTCTCTGGAAGAGGCTGCTGTGGCTTTCTGGAGCATTCCTCAGCAGTCCTGGCCCTCTGCCTGCCCGTTTGCTCCCATTTGGTGCTGGCCAGGCAGACTGGAGACCAAGGCAAGTAACGGCAGCTGGTTAGTCAGAGCTCACACACCAATGCCCTCTTCATTTTACACTGAAAAATTCTTTTAAAATCTCGAGCTTGGTTTAGGTATTGATTTTTTTTTAGATAAACAATTAACATAAAAGAGGGATAGCATGGAAAGTTCCCAAAGAGCAGCAAGATTTAGAAGAAATTAACAAGTATAATCTGTTGCTGGCTCATAATTTACTGTTACCAGTCACTCTTTAACTCTGCTGTGGGTTGCAGACTTATTTTGCTTTGCTTCTGTCCCAAGAGGCACCAGCTGGGGCTCCTACAGAGTGGAGGACAAAGCTTCGTTTTTTTGTTTGTATGTTCTAGGATTGAGGGACCTCATGTTGAATGGGAGAAGGGACCCTCTGCCCCTGATGATGACGTCTATGGCCCCAAGCCCCAGGCTTCCGAAAAGAAGCTCCCCTCTGAAGAAACAAAGCCCGCTGCTATTGGTACCCAGGGCACACTTGGCAAACTGCCAGCAGCCACTCAGATCCTGAACAGTATCCTGAATAACTATGACCACAAACTGCGCCCTGGCATTGGTGGTGAGTAGCGGAACATAGTTCTTTGCCCTCTGGAGGTGGAAGGTTGAGGGCGTAAGTGTGGATAATGGGCCTGGGGCGCAGGTGGAGTGCCATGCATGTGGGCAGGAACAGCTGTTGCTGACCTGTCTGGTAAGAGATATCAACTCTAGTCTCAGAAATGCCCTTAATCTTATTCTATGGGCCGGCCCCGTGGCCGAGTGGTTAAGTCTGCGCGTTCCGCTTCAGCGGCCCAGGCTTTGGGTCCTGGGCGTGGACATGGCACCGTTCATTAGGCCATGTTGAGACGGCATCCCACATGCCACAACTAGAAGGACCCACAACTAAAATATACAACTATGTACTGGGGGGATTTGGGGAGAAAAAAGCAGGGGAAAAAAATCTTATTCTAGACTTTTCTCTCCTCTCACTCTTAGTTTTTCCAAATAGAAAATCAGATGACTGGACTAGATTGACCTTTGAGGTATGTCTAGCTGTTAACAGTTTATGAATTGAGTCTTGCCATGAAAGAACAAAGACAGAAAGAAAATCAGATGTTGAGCCTGTGTAGTCCAATCCTTACCCAGCTCCCCTTTCTCATACCCTCCTCTACCCCATGCCCCAGATTAACACTTACCTCTGCCACTTCTGCTTCCTTTACAGAAAAGCCAACTGTGGTCACTGTGGAGCTCTCTGTCAACACCCTTGGTCCCATCTCTATCCTGGACATGGTGAGTACTGAGCTTTGATGACAGTATCTCCGAGCCCAGGGAGCTGACCCTTGGGGCCTTTCACATACTTTGTGTATCTGTAACAAGAGTTTTGTGGGGGGAGAGATTTTAACCAACACCGACTTGAGAAGGAGGCTAGAAAAGGTAAGTCCTTCGCTGCCTGAAGAGGACCTTCAGAATCCTGACTATATTTTCCAGTCTTTCACTCAAAATAAAAATAATAAAGCAACTTTAAACACCACGATTGAATGGCTCTTTTATTCTGGTAATGACTTTTATGGACCTAAGTCTATAGTTACCAACTCTTGCTCTAAGACTGTTTCTCTAATTTTGCGCTGGTTCCTTCTCTCCTTTTCCACTGCTATCATCCTAGTGCCAATACTGTCCCCAGTTAGCCTTCATTATCTCCCACCTGAAATATGCAAAAGTGAAAGTCTCTGCCTACCCCAGTCCACCTACTAACTTGGCCACTTGAGTGATGTGCCTCCTGTCCTGGTCCTGCTTAAAGTATGATGTTCAACCCCACATTCTAACAGTCAAGGTCCTCCATGGCTGGGGCCAACCCAGTGCTCTGGTTTTATTTCTTTTCATCTCTTTAGAGACCACGTGCTCTAGTCACACTAGAGTATAGATGTTCCAAGACCATTTTGTACTTCCGAGCCTTTGTTCAAGCTGTTTCCTATCTGGGATGCCATTGCTCCAATTTTCTACTTGTCATAAGCCTTATCCTTCAGGTGTAGCTCAAATGACATCTCTTTCATAGGCATCTTCCCTGACCTCTACAGCTGTTCATTGCCCTCTTCTTACACCACACTTCTCTCTTTGGCACTCAGATCTTTCTAGTTTATATCACAGTTCTTTTCCTGGTTTTCCCTACCTCGTTGTGTCATAATTATGTGCTCTATGTCTGCCTTGCTCTCTCAACTATGGGCTCCTTGATGTCAAGGACTCAGTATATGTTAGCTGAGCAAATTAATTATGAAAGATGTTCTATAGAAGTCACTTTCATCTGCCGAGCCTGATAATGAGGAATGCTGTGGTAACCAACTTCATCGCAGCCATGGACTTGGCCGAGGCCAGGTAAGACACAGTTTTAGCATACCTATCAGTACGTGACAAGTGCCTTGTGTTTGGGTGAGCTCACAGTCTAGTCTCTGAGATAGGACTTGTAAATAGACACTCAAAGGTAAATAACCATTCGTGGAAGATCAAGGTGTTTACATAGGCTGAGTGAAAGAGTGAAGTTTTCCCCTGTGATGCTTTGTTTGGCTACCCGGTTCTTGAGGCACAGTGTACTTATATATTGCTATGTAACAAATTACCCCAAAACGCAGTGTCTTAAAACAACAAATACTCATTAGCTCACAGCTTGTGTGGGTTAGAAATCCGTATGACTTAGCTGGGTCCTCTGTTTCAGAGTCTCTCATAAGGCTGCAATTAAGGTGTCAGTTGGGGCTAGGGTCTCATCCGAAGGCTCAACTGAAGGAAGATCCACTTCCAAGCTCTCACATAGTTGTTGACAGGATTCAGTTCTTCTCTGGCTGTTGTCTGGAGGCCTCCCACAGTCCTTGCCATGTGGGCCTCTCCACAGGGTAGCTCACAACATGGCAGCTGGCTTCCCTAAGAATGAGTGCGAGTGTGAGAAAAGGTGCCCAAGATGGAAGCCACGAACTTTTATAATCTAATTTTGGGAGTGACGTCTCATTGCTTCTGTGGTATTCTGTTCATTAGAAGCACGTCATTAGGTCCAGCCCACAGTCAGGTGGAGGGAATTACACACGGACGCCAGGAGGTGAAGATCATTGCTGGGCCATCATAGAGTCTGCCTTGACAGCCATGATGTTCTCCTGTTGGAGCTAGTAGAGGCTTGTAACTCCTAGAGTGGAATGCTTGGAAATAACAAGAAGAGAAGTATGAAAGCAGATCTTAGTGAGTTTCTGTCGACATTTTAAAGTTTTTTCCGCCTCCTTTCATGTCAGATTTGGTTTTTGCTGTTATTAATGTGCTTACCACTAAATGAATATGACTTTAGCAATCAGTTCGATTAAAATTGTTGATAAACTGAGAAACATTTGGTTTTGAGCAAGAGCCAGAGGTTGAGGTCCGTGGTTCCACCATCACGGCTCCTGTTTACTCTTAATAGGAAATGGACCTTTCAGGTCTTTGGTGGGGGCATGGAGGAAGTGGCCTGAAGAGTAGTGGAAAATTTGTGGCTACAATCTCCTTGCTATTTGTGTAAGATATAATTTTGGAAAACTAATTTCTATCATCCGTAAAAGCCCTGTGGCAGCAGAGCAGTAGTCCCACTCACAGTAGCTGAATGCCCTCTCTCTCCTTGCTTTGTGCCTATTAATGTTGGCAGCATTGGCCTCACCTGAGGTGCCAGGAAGTGCTGATACCTAACAAGACTGAGGGATAGTCTAATAACTCGGCAGTCACAGGACCTGGCATGCTATACAGAACTGGTCCAAAGAGGAGCCAACAGCTTGATCTTCTTTGTCCAGTAAGTTAGTGCTTTAGCCTGGGCCAGGTGCCTTTAGAAGATTTCAAACACTCATGTGGTCTTAAATTTCCCCAAGAAGTCTGGCCTTCTTCATAGTTCCAAATAATTCTTTAAAGCTGTGGGAGGTCCCAGTTTTTGTACAGCCTACTTTTCCCTTGTGACAACCTAGAGTCCTGTGCTTGGTGAGGAGGGAGCACACGTCTATCTCACACAGCCACAGCACTTGCCAATGAACAGAGCATACTTGTCTTCTTGGATCCTTGTGATAGCCTTTGTGGCAGGTAGGGCTGCCACTGGGATCCTCATTTTATGTTTGAGGCAACTGAGCCTCTTAGCAAGGTGCTGAATCTCCAGTATTCTGTTGGCCATGTGTAAAAGGTTGTTTGAGGGGAGTTCTAATACCCTTCAGTCAATTAGATGTTGTATAGAGCCCAGGATTTGTCCTCAGAGAGAGAAACCTGAGCCTACAGCATGTGGATTTAAATCAAATGTTTCTACTAGTCTCCTGGCTAAACTTTTGAAACACCTAGCCTGAGCTTAGAAGGCAGTGACCAGTTTAGGAGCAACTGCCCATCACAGCATCAACAGTTGCTGAGGCTGCTTCTCACTGTGGTAATTATTGCAAGTAATTCTAATTAAGCCACTTGCTTGACACCAAATTTCTAGAGTTTCAGCTGAGCTAAAAGAGATGTACAGCCCAAGCTCCCTTGTCAAACTGGGGAAAAATTGAACCATTAGTTATCTGTTGATGTATAATGAACTTAGAATTGGTATCTTGTTAAATAGAAATTAAGTGCTCAGTTGAAGTACCATAACACAGAGAAGGAGCACAGTGTGGATTGTGGAGGGGAAGCCTTCCCCTGGCTACCAAGCAGTTCACATGGCCTAGGAACGAAGGAGGCTCTGCAGGCGAAATTGGGACTGGCAGCCACCGGTACCGCGGAAACGCTGAAGGTCAATTGTGAAGGCTGGTGGGACTGGGCAGGGCAGGGCAGGGCTGGGGGCTCTCATGTGAACAGTAGCCAGGCTCTGCCAGATTTTTTCTGTCTCTTTCTCTGGACTACTCCGGGGAACATTCCCAGTCTTGGAGGCTGGATCCTGACAATTTGGCAGTGACTTTCACCTCCTTTTGGCCTGGACTGCAGAGACAAGTGGGAATTGTCTTGACCTTTCCCCTGAGGGCTCTTACTGACCTCCAGGGTTGTGGATTTCTGGTTGGTGTTCATTGTTTGATGCAGGATAACTCAGGGGAAAGACCTAGGAATCCTGCAGAGGAAAGTAGGACCTTGGTACCCAGAGGGATTGTTGGTGCAAGTGATATAAGCACTGGAGAGGGAGATTGGTGAACGTCGTCCCAGGGAAAGGCCGTGGTAATGGAGCTCTGAGCATCAGAGCCAGTGTGCTGCCATTAACTGTTTGTGTGATTTTGGACAGGCTCCTTTCTCTTTGAGCCTCAGTGTCTCTATTCTAAAGTAAAGGGGGCTGGGCTAGCCCTCAAGGTTCTACCTTGGCCTGGTTCTGGTACTTGCTGTTCAAGCTGCTTGTAGTTTTATTGCGGTCTATTTTTTCTCCCTTCAATACCATGGTGCAAACTACTAACTTCTCATACTTCTTCCTATTAAACATCCTTCTTGATGTTTAACAGACTGTTGATGGGATAGACAATATCTGAAGACCAAATAATCATCAATACATCTATGCATATGCACACACACATTCAGAGGTTAGGTGCCCTTGTGTAAAAGGAAAAACAAAACAAAAAAAATGATTCAAAAAACATGACACTAAATAGACATTTCTCTTCATTTTTAAATATAATTCTGGAGAATGAAGGATTGAGGTTAATTAACGTCTCTGCTCCCTAAATAAAAGCTGAAAGGGGAAACTTCACAATATGCAGTCAAAGGTATGTGTGTTTATGACTGTTTAAAATGATTCTGAGCTGAGATCTTCAATTTGCTGTGGGAGTGTGGGGGCTGAGAAGGTGCTGACCTGGCTGGAGTAGCACCACAGCCCTACAAGGGAGTAGTGACAGGATGAGCCTAGCCAATGCGATTAAGCCACCATTGCCTATCTGTTTCTAGATGAAATGTGTCTTCCCAGACTGTTATCCATTTGGGAATGTTCCTTTCTTTTGAGAATACCTGGAAGTAGAAAGCTCCTACAGCCAAACTCATGCTGCTTTCCCCTGTGCAATCTAAGTGGGTTTTGTCTGCTTCGCAGGCCCATCGCAGGATGGCATGGGGATGTTCTTTGTTTGCACAGCCCCAAGTGTGTGCTTTTCTATTCTTCTCACCAGGAATACACCATTGACATCACCTTCTACCAGACCTGGTATGATGAACGCCTCCGTTACAATGGCAGCTTTGAGAGCTTTGTCCTGAGTGGCAACATGGTGAGCCAGTTATGGATCCCGGACACCTTTTTTAGGAATTCTAAGAGGACCCAAGAGCATATGATCACCATGCCCAACCAGATGGTCCGCATCCACAAGGATGGCAAGGTGTTGTACACAATTAGGTATGTCAAGTCTCTGAAGTCTTACCTCTTGGGAATCTTCCTCCCCTTCTGAGAATTTTCACCAAAGGACCATGGGCAGAAGTTTCATCCTGAATGTTACTTCTAAGGGCCCTTCAAGCTTTCCGAGACCATAAGTTCAACCCCTTCATGTACAGACACAGACAGTAAGGCTTCAAAGTAGAAAGATATTGCTTAAGGCCACAGACCAAGTGTGTGGAAGAGCTGGAACTGGTACCCAGTTACTTGGCTCCCAGTCCAGAGCTCCTCCAACTAGAATGTACCAGTATGTCTGTATTGCCTGGACGATTCCATCCCAAGTGGGCACTGGATGTAAAGACACGTCCACGGTGATGGAATTGTCCAGGCGGAGCAGCAGCACAGCAGTTGGAAAGATACCTAACACCAGGCTAGATACCTGAATGCCTGGCAGGGGATGGTGTGGGGGCAGGGAGGTGGTAGAGAGTGGGAGGATGTTGGCGGGTCCTGGAAGCTCGTATGGACAAGAAACAAGAGCTCATCCTAGTTGGTCCATACATTTCTCTGATGGTGGAGACCAGAGTAGCCAGATATGTCCAAGCTGTTCTTCCTCTCTTTTTGTCTCTCTTTTGAGCTCTTTATCTCAAATACCACTGTTGCCACTCATTGGTGGTGGTCCCCAGGTCCAAGTTGGGTGGATATCTGAGTGCTCAGGGCTAGCCTAATGAGGCTCCTTTCTCCCTTCCAGGATGACCATTGATGCTGGATGCTCACTCCACATGCTCAAATTTCCAATGGATTCTCACTCTTGCCCTCTGTCTTTCTCTAGCTGTGAGTACCTTCTTAGGTTTCTGGGGCCCCAGAGTCATGCTGGGCCCCTTCTTTTTCTCATCCTTGTCCTTCATATTTTTCTGCTTCTGCTTTTCTCCTAAGATGGTGCCAAGGTTTCCTAGGGCCTCCTAATGCATCTTCATCTCTTTTCCTGCTGACGATACTGTGTTGCTTAACCTGGGCCTCATGTTGGATCCCTCCTTCTCCCTTCCACCCCATCTCAAGTCAGTCACTGGCCTCTGAAATGTATCTCAAGTATGTCTGTTCCTCTCCATCTCCACTGTCACCAGGTCTTTGTCATCTTCCACTTGGACTTTTTTAACATCTTCACTTTGAGACTGAACATGTCCCAAACTAAATACATTGTCTCCCCCCAGCTGCTACCCTCAAAACAAATGTGTTGCTTTTGTGTTCCCATCTGTCTCATTGAAAGGCACCATCACCCACTCAGTTGTCCAAACCAAGAACTTTGATGCTTTTTTCTCCTTCACCCCCTATATCTAATCAATCAACATATCCTGTTGGTGTTCCCTCCCGAATATCTATTGATTCTGTTTCTCTGCATTCTCACTGCCACAGCTTTGACTCCTGCATTCATTCATTTTATTGTGCCTGGATTACTGCCCTGGCCTCTCATAACTGGTCTCCCTGACAAACAGGCCATCCTCATATAATGACCACAGTGACCTGGCTGAAGCATCATCTAGACCAGCTCACTTCTTAGTTTCAAATCTTTCCAGAACCCTCATGGATCAATTCCACATTCCTTAAAATGACCCTCGAGGCCCTTCATGAACTGGCCCCTGCTATTCACTCCTACACCTCATCTATCCTCTGTGAGCTAACCATCCTGAACTTTTGGAATTTCTATAATAAATCAGGCATTTTCACCTTTCTGTGCATAGAAACCGTCCTCACCCCTTTAGCCTCATCCATGCAGAAAATATTTACTCAACTTTTAAGACTTATTGGGAATATCACCTACTCTATGAAGTCTTTTCTGGGTGTGTCCCAAAGTGATCTTTCCCTCCTCTGTTTCCCCACTGTCCCGTGAGCAGAGGTTTCTCAGAGCAATTCCAGCAATTACAGATGTATGTGCACTGTCTTACTCAATAAAATGTGAATGCCTGAGGGTAGGGCTTCTGCCTTGCTCATCTCTGTATTTCCAGCACAGGGCGCAGTACTGAGAAATGTTCTGTAAATGCGCTAATAGAATGGACATCAACAATGAGGTAAGAGAGGTGAGGTCATACAACTGGTGAGGCCAGAGTCAGGACTCCAAGCCATTGCTCAGACTCCATGCTGGTGGAGACCTCAACTGGGCTACCCAGACTCACATGACCCTCCTTTCCATGTTGCTTTACAGTTTCCTATCCTGAGAATGAGATGATCTACAAGTGGGAAAATTTCGAGGTTGAAATACATGAGAATAATTCCTGGAAGCTATTCCAGTTTGATTTTACAGGAGTGAGCAATGAGACTGAAACTATCTCAACCCAAGCTGGTAAGTGCACTTTTGCAGCCAGAGCTAGGCAGAGGCCCAGGAAGGTGGTAGGAATGACTGGAGGTGGCCATCCATATAAATAAATGCTGTGTAATAATCCCATGGAAATACTGTAGAACATGGCTCTTGTCTTGTAAATGCTAAGCACTTACAACTGTTTGCAGAGGAAACTGAGACTTTCTGCAAAGAAGTAAGTGCTTTGCCAAGTCCTGGAGAGGGTAGGTAAGTAGATAAAGTTTTATTGCTGTCAAAATTTACAACTAGCTTTGTCATGCAGACCCATTAATTTCAAGGTCTTTGTTACAGCTGACCTACTCAGATGACTTTGGGGACTGAAGCTCATGTGAGTTCTCCATACCCAGAACCAATTTAGGCTGGTTGAGTGGGAAGAAAAGTCCATCTTAACAAGAGGTGGTGGCTAGAATTTTAATGGCAGCTAGGTGAGGGCCGGGATAGTATGGAGGAAGTTTCAGCAGGTGCTGCATCAACATTTATTTCAAAGGAGCAGCTCTGACAAGCACAGATTCCTGTCATAGGCTTCATGGTAGATTCAAAATGGACATGGTAATCATTGGTTTTCTGAACTTGTCCCTAACAATGACTAAAAGGGAGGGTCCTGGGTCTCTTAAACTTAAGCTCCCAACTAGACGTGAGCATCTTTGCTTGTGTTCTTAAGTGATCTAAATGAGGAGCCAAGAGATATCCCCAGGGTTCTCCCAGAGCAGCCCTGGAAACCCTCTTCACATGTACTGACCAAGTCAGGGCAGTGGAGACACTGCCCTCACCTTTTCCAGACTGCAGTTGGAGCCAGTCACCCAACCAGCCAATTGCCATGGGAGGCATCTTGCTTTGCTTCCGTGTGGCTAGGCAGAAAATCTACTTTTGTCTCTCTTGTTGAGTTGGTCACTAAGTGAGAGATAGCTCATGCTCATCTGGCTAGAGCTTTGCTTGCACAGTGCTAGGCATGGGCAGAGGGATGCTTTACAAATGCTTTCTTTTTCTTCGGGGGCTCTGGCTAAGCAGTTTTACTACCTTTGACTCAGGATCCTTGCTCTTCTGCCAGCTAACCATGGGCCTGCCTCTTGCCTTTCTACACCTCAGTTTCCCCAGACAACTGGGGACCCATCATCAAAAGCAGCAGAGGAGACAAGGGCCAGGGGCTTTCAAGTCACTAGTGGTTCCGTTTAGTAGATGGTTGTGCATTGTTTCAAAATGGTGCCCTAGTGACTACAAAGCCCCAGAGCCAGCATCATCACCGAAGCAGTAATAGGTAAGCACCAGCCTTCCTTGGGAGAGAGGAGAGATCTTGGGGTGAAATGTGGAGGGCTTCTTTCTCTTCTGCTAGAGACTAGTTGACCTTGAATCATGGTGTCTCCATTATCATAGTTATCTTTGGAACCTGTCCCAAACCCTTCCAGTTGGCCCCTGGAAAATTCTCTCCATCAGGAGCAGACTTACGTACTCAACTCTTAAGGGTTCAGAATGCAGTGGTAGCTTACTACTCTGGCCACCTTGGGCCTTGAACTAGAGAATCTCTGCTTCAAGAGGCTCTCAGAGAGTCCAGCTTTGCCCCCAGTGAGTGAGTTAATCCTTCACTGGTGGCTGTTGAGCCTCTGATGGAATCTTACCTGTGATCAGGATTTCACATTTTGCGAAGGAGTCTTTTTTCTTCTCTAGACAACTCTGTCCTTCAGAAAACTCTCCCTGTTCATTGAAATCGAAGTCTCTGGAAATTCCACCCATTGGACTTAGTTCTTTTTTCCCTAGAACTACTGAGCTTACGGTAAGTCCAGTCACTCTTCCACAAGGTCAAGATGAAAGGACCAGTATCATGGTTCCAGCGCTGGGTCATAGTCCTTTATAGGCTATACAGCCCTACTTTATTTTTCTTCCCTTGTTCTTCAAAGCTTTGGGTCTACTCATCCTTCTAGTCTTGGTCCTTTGGACACAGTCTTTTTAATTGTGTTCTGACAGTGCAGTGACCAACTGTGGTCTGGCCAAAGCAGATAAGAGCAAAAAGCATCTTTAATGTTTTTTTTTTTTCTTTTTGCTTTGGCTCCTCAGCCCCAGATATCTTTTTATCTTTTTTTCCTTACCCATGCTCCCCCATTCCTCAGGAATAAGAAAGTATGTGCTAGTATCCTTCTCTTGGCCTTTAAAGACAAATTTCCATCTCTTGACAAGTAGAGAAGGTTCTTCTTTGGCTGGAATAAATAAAATAAAAATAGAAAAAGCTGATAGGATAATAAATCTTCTTGTAACAAGAATATATAAACTCAGCAAATAAATCTTCTTGTAACAAGAATATATAAACTCAGCAAAGTTTTGCAGGAAGTGGTTGTAGCTAAATAGGGATGTCTTAAATTGCAGTCAAGACCCCACGCAAGAGAACTAAGAACTTGATAAATACATTCTGGCTGGTAGGCAGGTGTGAGTAGTCCCTTCAGAAGCCCTGGAGTAGGAGTTCTATCCCCAAAGCTACTACTCTGGACACAGGTATTCCACTGACCTCAGGCTACGTCCTTGCCTTTTCCCAGAAGATTCTAAAAAGTCTTGCCCCTTGAGTTTCAGTGCTGCCAAAGTGAGTAGGAAAGGCTACTCTTCTCATTCATCTCCAACATACCTAGACCTGATTTCCAAATTAGGAAGACACCTGGACAGGTTAGTGTTCTGGTCTGCTTTACAAAGCTGTTGCAAGGCAGCAGCAAGAGTTGCTGAGCATCTGCTAGGTTCCAGGCTGTGCTGGGCTTAGATGGGCTGGAGCAAAGCCACAGGGCTCACATGAGCCCTACCCTGAAGGGGATTAAAAGCCCACCTAATTCAAGGCCAAGTAATTCTGCAGCATCACTGAGGTGGAAGTTTGGAGCTTAGCTTCACTAAGGAGCCAGAATTTGAACTATTACAAATCCAATATGATGTTGAGACTGAAGAGGGATGTTCTGGGTTCAGAAAAGCCCCCCAAATCCTTGGAGTCATGATGAGCATGCAGAGTGTTTGGGATGAGTGTGTCAGAGTATAAGGCAGCATTGAGGGTACAACAGCAGATGCCAACTGGAGATGTAGGTTGTCATCAGGTCCTGTAGAAGCCATCACTATCTAGGGTGTGAGTCAACATCAAAGACATGATGCCCAAGTGAATGTGAAGACCTCGGTCTGCCTTGTGTATGTATACTCTGCAGACCTGATATCTGGAGCGCTGGCTGAAATGTTCACTTTCAACTAATTCTTATATTTTCTCAGAACACTCCATTTGGCTTAGGACAGTAGACTAAGAACAGGGAGTCCAGGGTTTGAATATTGGTGTATATATGCAAGCTTTCTCAGGGCTTCTGAGAGAAGATGGGATTAGCTGAGGGTAAGGTGTGTATGTGTACCTCTGTGAATAAGATGTCAGTTGGAGTCAGATTGTGGTGGGCCTTTAATGTCATATTACAGTGTATACTTGATTCTACAGCTCTTGAAGAGCAGGGAACCACCAGGGGTTTGGGGGTAGGCGGGTGATTTCTTTTGGCTACTGATGGAACAGTGTTAATTAAGGCATTTCACCAGCATATAAATGTATAGGAAGGAGGCTGAATGGATTCTGTGCTTCACCCACCACAGCACAAGCTGCCCGTGGCTCATTTCCTGAGAGCCTACATTGCAAGGGCCAGCAGCACAGATGTAAGACTGTGATTCTGCAGACTAGATATGGCACCTCAATGGATGTGAAGGCCTCAGTCAGCCATCTGGACATGAGCTGTGTGGTCCTGATATCTAGAGGGCTGAGTGATTCTTTTTCACTTTCATCTGACTCTTCTGCCACCCTAGAAAGACAGATGTGGGATGTGGGAAAGTGAACTGAGAAAGAAGTGATTAAGGTTCTGGCCCTGGCTTAGCTCTTAACTGACCATGGGTCTTGCAGTGTGTCTCCTCTCTGGGCTTCTTCTGATCCTTTGTGTGTGGCATTGCAATAATGTGCCCCTATCCTAGGACTGTGGTGGGGATCCATGAGCTGAACGATGAGACCCTTAATGTGCCTGTCCTGCCTGGGGGAGACCCTCATGTCAGTGCTGTAATGAAGTGGTATTTTTTATGTTTTTTAGGTGATTTCATGGTGATGACGCTTTTCTTCAATGTGAGCAGGCATTTTGGCTTTGTTACCTTTCAAAACTATATTCCTTCTTTTGTGACCACAATGGTCTCCTGGGTTTCCTTTTGGATCAAGAAAGAGTCTGCTCCTGCCAGGACCTCTTTAGGTAAGTGGATAAGGTGGACATACCCCTGGGCATAGAATTGCCTTATCAGAGGTCCTTTCAGCAGCACAACATATGGATCAGTAGCTGAGCCCATCTCCACTCCTGTCTTTCCCAGGAGTCACCTCTGTACTCACCATGACCACACTGGGCACCTTTTCCCGGAGGAATTTCCCACGTGTCTCCTATATCACAACCTTGGATTTCTATATTGCCATGTGCTTCTTCTTCTGCTTCTGTGCTCTGATGGAGTTTGCTGTGCTCAACTTCTTGACCTACAGCTGGAGAATACCCCGTGCTTCTCCAAGACTTCGCCATGTATGACCTGGGTATGGGAGTGGTGGCAAGGCTTTGGAGTACGGAGGCATGCAAGTGAGGGCACTAGGACACACGACACATGGTGGCCCGCTCACTGAGTAATGGGGGTAACCTGGGTTTTGGTGAGGACTTGAATAAACTTTCTGATGTGATGGGGGGACCTCTGGGGGGAAAGAAACAGTGTGCCAAGGACAGAATCTCCAGAAACTCCTGAGGCAGCACCTAGGCTTGGTTCTTCTTCCCTTGACTTTGTCTTACTTCTTCGCTTGTCCATTTCAGCCTCGTCCCCGTGCCCTTACCCGTCCCCATGCCCGCCAGCATCAGGAGGCTTTTGTGTGCGAGATCGACGACTCTGAGGAGAGTGATGAAGAGGAGGCCCCATCCTGCCCAGCCTGGCAGTCCCTCAGCCCACGTAGCACCCGGCGCCATGGCGGCTGCTGCAGGTGGTTCAAGAAGTACCTCTGCGTGGTCCGCAGTTGTAAGGGCAGTATCTGGCAGCAGGGCCGCCTCTTCATCCACATCTACCGCTTGGATAACTACTCGCGAGTTGTTTTCCCAGTGTCCTTCTTTTTCTTCAATGTGCTCTACTGGCTTGTTTGCCTTAACCTGTAAGTACCAGCTGGTACCCTGTGAGGTAGCCTTCCTAGTTCCCCAGGAGGTCCTGCACCCCTTGCCAAGGGAGTTGGGGGAAAGCAGCAGCAGCAGGAGCAACTAGAGTGTCTTTCCTTCCCCATTCCCCAAATATAAGCCTGCAGAGAACTGGTCTTTGCTGGCCCTCTTCCCTACCTGGCCCATTCACTGAATCTCCTTGGCAGCCCCTTTCAAGTAAAATGAGCCACCTCTCTATTCTTCAAGGGGCACTTATGATGCTCAGGCTTAAAAATCATAGGCTCTCGGTGACCAGCTCCTTAAGACCGTGCCCGTATATGAGCAGATTAACTATCTCCCAACAGTGCTGACCACGACTGCCTTTTTCCAGAAACCCAATACTGCCTTTGTGGTGCTCCAGGCCCAGCTCTGGCCTCAGCCTCAAAGTGCACAGACCAGCTGCTTGCCTGTTCCTGACACCTCCGTAAGATGCTGGGCAGCAGTGTAACAGGGGATGGGGACCCCCATACTTAGCTCAGATTATTATATTCTTGGTTCTAGCTCCCTGCCCTCCCTTCCCCTGCAGATAGACAGACACTTGCATTATCCTTTAGGAGAGGGGAGACAGCAATTGAGCCTCTTTGGGACAGTATCCCTCCCTCTGCTGCTGTGACACCTCCTTCTCCCCTGCCGCCCGCCTCCATCTCTCATCTGCACCACCAATCCAATGCTTGCATCCAGTGGGTATCTATTTTAGTGTGTGATAATAGTAATGACCCCCTGCTTTGTATGCCACCTTCTTCCTCCTTCTTGACCCCTGTGACTCTTTCTGTAACTTCCCCAGTGACTTTCCCAGCCTCAACCCAGGTGCTAGGCCATGGTGACTTCCCAGGGCCAAGAAACTAAGAGAACTCTGCTTTGCAGCAGGCATTACTTGCATTGATTGGTGCCTACCTAAGGCACAGCATAGGAGTTCTGCCACTTTCTTGGCCCCTGGACCCATGAGCCAGTCCACTCTTATCCCTGGGGCACTCTCACAATCACAATCAATCAATTGAACTCCCTTAAATTTGTACAGCACTTTACCTTTTGCAGAGCACTTTTGACAAATTATTTCTATTTTGAGCCTCACCATAGCCCTGTGATATATTCAGGGCAGGATTCTTATCCCCATTTTGCAGATGAGAACCCTGGGGCACAGATTTCTATGGGACTGGGGATCTCACTGGAAACTACCCATGAGCCCACTGTCACCTTGTAGACCACATGACAGGGCTCGGCAGCTCTGTTCACCATGATTCAATTCTATAGCCTCTGCTGGCACCCCAGTGGCATAGCCCAGAGTGGCAGCCTCTCTTAAGCATTGGGCTGCTCAATTCCTGGGCCTCAGGTGCTCAGACTGCCCCCAAGATCGAGCCTCTCCTGGCTCTGGTAACCCAGTGAGGTGAATTTGGACATGCCCCAATGCTTGTATATGCTCAATGAAATCTGTGTCTGTATTTTACTGGGGTGGTGGGTAGGGTGTGGGATCCATCTGCTTTTTGTCACCATCACCTGAAAAGGGGAAATATGTCAATAAATATATCAGCAAAGCATGGAAAGTGTGGCTGGTTTCTCGGGTATTCAAGTTTGTTCACAGCTCAGGTTTTAAATCTTAAATCATTGGCCTGAACCTTTGTCTCATCCCCTCTCCCATCCATGACTCCCAGACCACCAAGCATGCATCATGTGGAGAGCTGAAGGGAAGGAGTGGCCAAGTGGGTGGCCTCCTTTTACTGATTCCCTTACTTGGTCCTATGCTGCTGCCCCCCTCCATGTCCCTTTCACGTTGCCCATCATTCTAGCCTCACCTAGTCAGAGCTAGAAGGTTCCTAGACACCATCAGACTCAGAACACTTCCCCCAACCAGGTAAAGATGGAGATGCTGAGGCACAGAGAGGAGTGTTTGCTGTGTGTCTACTGTCACAACCAGTCAGTAGTGGAGTGGAACCAGACCCCAGAAATCCCAACACCCTGTCTTGGCTAGGAGCAAGCCTGAAGATCCTGATTGATCCACACTTCAAATGAAAGGTTTCTAAAGGTATATTGGGAAGTGTTGGCCCTGGCATCCTGTGACGCATCCAACCCTAAGGGAACTCAGAAACAATAATAAGAACAAAGGAAGAGACAAAAATGGCATCTGAACACCCACCATTTTTGCCATAAAGTTCTTGAAATGATGCTCACTTTCCCTATAAGAAATCCACATGCCTCTACTGTGTATTTTCTGATGTCCTAACCCACAGAAAATTACAAGAAACAATTTAGAGCAAGGAAAATAGTTCCTCACTTTTACTTTACATTAGAAAGATAAGAGAATAAAGGGTAGCCTGGCATCTGAGCAATGGAGGCATGCAAATTGGTGAGCACTCATATTTAAATGCATTTTGAAAGAGAAACAGTGCAAACCAGATTCCTTAATCACACTACAGCAAAGCTAAGAACAAATAAAGTTCCTACCCTTTGTAAATTTTCAAAAGCTCACACAAACAGTTCTTTAAAAATGAAGACATTGAAACCATAATTGGGCACATAATACCTAAAAAATAAAATTAGTGAAGAAAAAACTACATATTAAAGCTCATGGAATGCAGCCAACGCTGCACTTAGGAAAAAATCATAATTGAAGCATTTCAGTTACCACAATGGAAGAAAATTGAGTTAAGCATTGAAACTTCGAAACTGGAAAAAGGATAAAAGCACGCTACACCTTACAAAAGTTTTGGGGGAAGAGGAATTTTTAAAATAAATAGTGTATGGAGAACTAATTAATCATTTAAAAAACAATAAGTAAAACTGGCTCTCTGTCTCTTTACATCGAAATTACAGATGAATCTAAGATTTAAAAACTTTTTAGGGAAACCATAAGACAATATGGGTGAATATGTTTATATTCGTGGGATGGGAAAGGCCTTTCTAAGCATGATATAAGACACCAGAAACTATAAAGGAAAATACTGAAAAGTTTGTCCATATTAAGAAATAATAATAACTAAAGCAAAAGGCAAAAAAAAAAAAAATGTATAGCAAAACACACCATTACTGGTTAGTTTTTCTTGGAAGCAGTCTCTCAGACTGAGATTAGAGTGTAGGAAATTGATTGGGGAGTGCTGGTAGGGTCAAGCCTGTGGGGGGAGTGAAGGGAGCAGGGCTGGGTAGAGAAGAGATTGGCCTGCAAGGCAGTCACAATAAGGTCCTCAGCTGAACACATGGGGAATTCTGGAGTTGGGTTGGGCCTTCAGATTGTCACAAATCAGAGCAAAGGGGTTGGATCTTTAAACACTTGCACTGACCACTAATTAGTTGTGAGCATGAACTTGGAAGGGATATGAGCTTGGTATGTATGCAGAAGGACTCAGCTGAAGGCTGTCAGCCTCCAACAATCTCAGCAGCTGAAGAAATGAGGGCTTCTGTGCCAAAGGGCTGGGGATGTGGGAAGGTCTTGGTGGCACACCACAGCATCCTCTATAGTTCATCCCTCACCTTGCTCAGGCTCATTTGCTTCATATAAATAAATTCCAGAGCAATTCTTCCAGGGTTATATTGAACTTCTTTTCCGGAGGAAAAGTTACAAAATCAGTAAAACACACTACAGCATCTGCCATTGGAGCTGGTCTTAGGGCCTCAACTGTTACTTATCATCTCCATGCTGCACTACCCATTCTAGATTTCCTCTCACTCTCAACTAATATTTTCTGCTGTTCTAGGTTGCTTGACTGGTGGAGTGACTAAAAGCTTCATCCTTGAGGGGTCTGAGACTCTGGACACCATGCCCTTCTTAGGCCATGGCTAGAAGGCTTGTTGTCATTTCTAAGAGATATCTAAATGGCTCACCCAGACACCAAACCTATTCTTGCCCGCCCCCATTGTATAGCAGTGGTCTTATCTCCCCCCCCCCCCCCAGTGATTAGGGTCAATTCCCGCTGTCAGGATGGTGACTTATTTTCTTTTGGCTGGTGCTAAAAGTGAACAGGCAGCAGCCATGGATTGCAATTTAATGGAACTCTTGTGTTGTCCCCTGAGGAAGGCACTTGCAACCTGGGAGTTAAGAACTCTAAACCTGCAGAACTCAGAATTATGAGGATGGGAAGCACATATTCCCCAAGTGGGTCACTGGGAGGGATGATAAGCAAGACAACTCCTATTCCTATTCCTTAATTCCCAAACCTGTATATTCTCCTGTATAATGGTCATTGATTTAGGATGTATAATGCTTCCTGGTGGGTGACACCCCATCTTCTCAGGATATCGTTTCCAAGCTGGCACTTCAATTGTGCCTTCAACACACATTTTATCACTCTGTCTGGCCAGCGCCTTCTCGGTGGTGCAGTATGTAATAGAATCCTAGGCCGTGTGCCCAATGTTGGACTCCTTTGGCCAGAAAGTGGATCCCTGGGTCCAATCCAATGTTATGTAAATTCTTGTTTCAGTAGATTAAACACTCTATGCTGTTGAATAGTGGTGCTGGCTGAGGCCCTCCAGGAAAGAAAGACAAACCCAAATCCTGAATTTGTGTTGATTGCTGTTGAGATGAATCATTGTCCCGTGCAGTTTTGAAGAGGTTCGGTGTAGCCAACTTGCCCCAAAGTTACTTACTGGTTTCCTTCAAAAATGGTTATATATTGGAGATTCACCACTGGTCTCTGTTGTAGGCAAGGTCAATAGCTAAGCCAGCCTTAGTGAGTAGGTGATTATGCTGTTATGCCCATGTTTTAACTTCAACCCTGCCATTGTTGTAGAGTTTCCAAATTTAGTAAATACAAATCCAGGATATCCAGTTAAATTTGAATTTCAGATGAACAACAAATAAATATTAGCATAAGTGTGTTTTATTTGAGGTCACAGTGTCCCTGGGCTGCTCCTATCCAAGGACTGATCACAGTAGGGGTACTAGAGTCTGGACACTTCTGCCAAATGCTGAGGGGCTCTTCCAACAAACAACCTTTGCACTGGAGCTCCTCATAAGCCTGACTGAGACTTCATCAAATTTCCCCTGCAGTCTTGGAGTCTTCCCCCTATTCCTCCTTGCTGCTCCTTCGCCTTTCAGGTATTAGGCCTCGTTCCCATCTGGAGGTTTTTCTGGCCAACTCCTGCTCCTTCTTCATTTATCTTTCACGAACTTTTCCCCCAATAAATCTCTTGCTCTTCTAATCTCATCTTGGCATCTGCTTTCCAGACAACCTAAACTGACACAATTGATACCACAAATAAAACAAGAAAGCACACAGTAAGATGGGATTCTGAGACGGGGTCACTCACCATCTGGCTGGCAAGAAGCAACCCATCCTGAATGGTATACAGGGCACAGATAGTATCTGGCACAATGTGACAGCCCAATGCCTGAAGATTTCACTGGTGGTTACCTGGGAAAACATCCCAATGGAGGGAACTCTGTTGCTGATTCAGGCATTTGAAGGCTATGGGGGAAACTATATCCAAAGAAAGTGGAGTTGGCCAGTTATTACTAAATTGTATTGATGATCTACAGAGAGACAAGGAGAAACTGAGAACAGATGACTGCAGTTTTAATACCTTAAAGGGTAAAGATAAGAGTCAGGGGGCCTCTTTGGAAGCTTATAAAGAGAACTTTATCTCCTACAGTGGAAAAGAAGAAGACATAGATGAGAAGCAAATGCAGAACTTAATAATTACACTTGCAAATATCCAGAGATGATTAAATGTCTAGCCAAGGCATGTCCTATGAGGCTAATGTGAGGGCTCTATTTGGAACAACCTGAAACCCTTAAACATAGAATGGGGACATGCAGATGGGTGCCTTCAAAAATTGAGGCTTTGTAGACTTTCCTGGACTCTTAAAGCCTGTAGAGGTGGTCTACCTCTCCCTGTTAAGAACTAGAACTTCTACACTCCTGGAAGACTTTTTAAAGACCTTTCTCAGGGCAACAGGTGCTCCCTTCAGGAGATGTTCAACTTAATTTCCTGGCTGTCAAGCCAATAATTGGAGATAAATCCTAGCATAATCTACTGGGAAAGTACTAGTGGGATGACTGGATCCACAGATCCATTCAACGTTCATCTTCCCAGCCCTATAGTGCAAATTGGATTTTATATATCTGGAAGTTGGAATAAGTTCCACATTGAGTCCTTGATCTGTGTTATAAAAGCTATCATAGTGGGAAAGGCCAAGTGGAAACTTCTAAAAATGCCCTTCCCAGCCAAGACAGTAAAGCAAAAACACTATCACAGACTGGATGGAGGAAATTAGTGCCACTCCTAAAGATTTCAAGGAAGTACCCATCATATCTCCATTTAATTTGCCAGTCTGGCCCCTGAAGAAACTGGATGGATCCTGGATAATGACTGTATATTGCCGCAGGCTTCACCAAGTTGTAGTCTGTATTACAACTGCTGCGCCATATTGTTGCTAGAATAGATTAATAAAGTCTCAGGTACATGGTATACAGCAACTGATTTGGCAAATGTGTGCTTTTCCCTTCCTATGAGAAAAGGGGGGGGGGGGAAACAGTGGGCAGGATAAGAACACTTATTTACAGTTTTCCCCAGGGCTTTGTTGATTCTCACAACCC